TGTGGATCCACAGAGACTTGGAAACTATGCGGTAAAGCACATTCACATCCATGTGCTCAGCTCCGAAGAATACAACTTTCAAAGGCACAGTCAGGTGGGGTACAAGGCCTTTTAGGAACTGTTCAGAAGGAACACAGCTCCTCTCCCAATTTGGAACTATGAGCCATGGGCCTAGGCCATGCCTTATTGGTTAGAATAGAAATTGGAATAATTAATTCTCTATTTTTGGAGCAGACACATCTAGAGCTAATTAGATCAGCTGAACCCCAAGTGTGTCTGGGTCCATGGAACTGTAACACCCTGGATATTCAGCAAATATGGCAAAGGAGAGAGACAGAGATTAAGATCACCACCCTCATGGAAAGCATCCTTTCTCTGTGTCCCAACTTCAGCAATAGGCCAATTGTGGAGAAATGGTTGGAAAATTCCAAACCCTTCTGTAGCCGCCAAGTTCATGTTGGGAGAGGCACAGTTGGCTTGCTCAGGGACTTCTCTGTTCTGAAACTTCTCTGATATTCCAAGCAGTGAAGATTCCTACGTACTTGCTTACTGCCCCAGATCTTTAGCTTGCTGGGAGGTTTGGTTCTTTACACACCACCAAGACTTTCCACCTCCGTCTTCCCTTTGCTCATGACCTCTGCCAGGTAACCAGGTAAGCCTATGCCCTCCTTGACCCTGTGCTCTCTGAAACTGTGCTGCCTAGTGAAGGGATCCTTGGTTATGGGACCACCTTCCAGGACTGAGGAAGGAAAGGAGGCATGGCAGCCAGTCAGAGCCAGGAGGAAGGGCAAAACACCTGTGGTGGAGAGAATGGACCTGTGGTCTGCTGAGCTTCATGAGCCCTGGCGTGACCCTCCAGCCTTCTGGGTTTCGGGCCCCAAGTCTTCTATCCCAAGAGTTCACCTGGGATATGTGGTTCTCATTTTTTATTCACCCTAGGTGCATTCTAACTCTCCTGCACTTTGTTTTTAACTTGCTTCTCTAAGTGGGGAGTGAAGCTGATAATAAAGACTTTAAAGATGACAGTATAGATGAGCAGCGATCACCTGAGAAGCACCAAGGTGAGCAAGTGGGTGGGTTGATGTCATTTGAAAAACCAACAGTCTCTGTTAGAACATGGTTTGGTGAGAAAAACTACGGCCACTACAAATGGCTTCCAAATTATAGTTCTCTAATGCCAAAGGGAAATGGCATAATTCTTTAAAGGCAGTTCACCCCACAGTTCAATTCATCATGTAAAATCAGATATGTAGAGAATGGCAATTAGCTCCAGTCCCTACCTAGTTTCAGTTAATTGAGCTAAAGTTCCTTTTTTTCTGGCCATTTTGCCTTGGGAAGCATAAATGCAGCGTGTAGGGTCCTGTGAACCCCAGTGTTTGCCTGGCCCTATCTCCCTGGAATCTGGAGTCCAGCCAATAAAGCAGGAGCTGACTAAGCAGGATGTTCTTGGAATCATTAGTGCTGTCCTGGAAGCCCGAGCAGCCAGAGGGTCTAGAATCCTCCCTTTGGTATTTACCCCAGAGCTGGCCTTCCCAGGTAGAAACAGGCTGCTTCTGGGATGGAGATGTCTTGCAGCAGGACACCAGGTGGCTGGCTGGGCAGGCTCCCTCAGGTCAGTTTAGTTCTCTTACAGTGACGCAACCTTGCATTTTACATAATTGAAACATTTAGACCTCGCTTATCATATTATGTTGGGGGCAAGGGATAGTGGGTAGACTGGGTGGGGAAGCAGAGGGTGGGAGGTTTATTTTAATTCAGATTGGGCATTTCACTGTGAGATCCATAAAAAGGATTATAATCTAATATGATACTCAAAAAAGAGTGCTCTGATATCTGATTCTTGTGAATTTCCCAGGGGCCATGCCAACCCCACTGTTTTTTGGAACAGTGACCTTCACCTGTAATGAAGCCTGAGATGCACCTCCCAAAGACAGGAGAGCAGTTCATTGCTAATAAACCTAGACTACCTTTTCCTTTCTCCTGTAGAGAGCATTTTCATTTTGCCCCTTCAGTATAGGGATGCTATGTGCTTTCCTGTATTATTTTGTTTAACCACCCAGTAATCCTGTAATGAAGTCATTATTATGATCAGGGAAGTTAAGATACTTGTCTAAATTCAAACAGTGTAGAAGTGGCAGAGCTGGAATTTTAACTTGACAGATCTCTGTCTGCTTCCAAAGTCTAGAATCTTCTATTCTGTATCATAATGTCCCTGTGATGCAGTGGTTAGGCAGGTATGGATTTGTTCTTAAATGCTTAATGCTCTTTTTGGAAGGTGGCAGGGGACAGAGACCTCCTTGAGAATTTTATGAAAACTGAACCTCTGGGCAGGTGGGGAGTGAGGACACACCCCAGCTCCACAATTCTGCATACAATGTCTGGAGGTCCAGGGGGTCCCCTGAATGCATCTGTGGATTTTTTAGGCCTACAGGAGTTCAGAGATTCCAGATTAAGTGAATTAGGGTCTTGAAAAGTTCATTAAAAGTAAAAGATCCGTTAATCCGTTAACATTTTTAAAAAGAAGATTGGATGCCTGAAGGCCGTTTCCAGATCTTTCCTTTTGGCTCTTCAGGAATAAAGAACAGGGATGAGAAGACAGGAGGATGGAGAGAAGATGAGTCAAGAGAAGAGGAAGCAGGATGGCAGGCATTAAGGAATTATCCAGCAAGCAGCAAAAGCAGTTTGCATTGTGAATAATTAAGATAGTTCAGACCCTGCGGATTTGGCTGAAGCACTGTTCACAAGCATTTTCTTTTCATGTTAAAATTAATTGGAGTGTTGATTTATTTATCTTTTCCCTTGGTGAACTGAATGACTCATCCTGATTTATAAACCTTCCACCTATCAACTCTCTATTAAGATGTGTGGGGGTGAGTGATTGATGATTTTAGTGGGTTCCCCAGGGCTATTGTTAGTTAGACCCAGGTGCTGGTGGCTGGGTCAGTGACCGCTAGGGACTCCTCAGAGCCCAGCATCCCTAGTTAGGTGGCCTCATGAATTTGGGTGTCATTTATGTCTTTAGGCAGACTTTCAAAAGGAAACTGGAATATATGGCTAAAGGGGTAAGGAGGATTGGGTCCAGGAGCTTGGGGACTTCGAGATTTCCAAACTAAAATGTTGTCTGAAACTCACCAGGAGGGATAATTGATACGATCTCTGTTCCTTGTGTTTAGAGAAGACCCTTTGAGACCACTATTAGAGTTGTCCCCCTGTATGAGCAGAATGGCCCAGAATTCCTTCCTATGGCCTATTTGCTGCACTTGAAGTTTTTAATTTGAGATTTTAGAAATAAGTAAGACAAGGAATCATTTTTCCAGCCTCCCCTGAGGGAAGGCAGAGCATCCAGCCTATTGGCCAGTCTCGGGAGATGCTGCAGAGACTGGGCCCCACGGTGGTCTAGAGAGACTGCAGAGTGCATGGCTGCTCCTGGGTCTCTAAATTCTGACCACATGGAGTGGACTGTCTGTGCTCTCAGGACCAGTGGTGTGACCTTGAGCAAGTCAACCTAGAGGTTAAAGCCCAGCTTTAGTGTCAAATGGCCTGAGTCCAAATTATGCTAAATCATCTGCCAGCTAGGTGAATGTGGGCATGTTACTTAATCTCCTGTCTGTGCCTCAGTTTCCCATTCTGTAATAGGAAGATAATAACATTAATCATAGTGCAAATAAGGCTGTTGTGAAGAGTAATTGAATCAACATATGAAACACATAGAACAGTGCCTGACATGTTTCAAGGGTTAGAACAGTGCCCTGGAGGAAACCTAGTTGTTTTTTAAACGCTCAGTTTCAAGTTCTCCGCTTGTAGAATAGAATTGATCATAAGTGGGTTGTCGTGAGGATAATGAGCTTGAAAGAGTGTGGGCAGAGTACTCCTGCTCAGTCACTGTTTGGCAGCAGCGGGTCATGACTCCACTGACAGGAAACAGACCAGGGGGATTGGGACGGTTCCTGCATGGATTAAGAGTTAAAGTTGCTGAGAAACCTTACCATGGGGGAGGTTTACATGCTGATATTTACCTCCCATGTCCTATTTTGCTTCATTTACTGCCCAGGCATATGGGGCCCAGGGCAGCATACCCCCTGCCACCCAAGACACCAGACCTGCCTGGGTGTAGGATTTGTGCCTCTACCACTGCCCCCAGTTCGAGCACAGTGAACCCGCATGCCCCTGCCTTTGTATGTTGTTTCTGGTGCCAGCTCACTGGTAGTAGTGCTTCAGAGAAAAGAATGTACATATTAGGTTCTTAGAAGAGTAACATCAAGATTATTCCAACATGCTGATGGAAAGTAGGAAAAAAAGAATCAATGCTCCTCACTGTATCCTGTAGTCTGAAAGGGCAGAATTAATTTATTAGGCATGGCTGTGAAGCACAAGTTCCAGAGATGTGACTCCAGTGTTGATTCTGGGGATGGCACTGATACAGAATAACAATTTCCCCTAGATGAAGGGAACGAGGCAGGCACTTTAAGACCAGAGAATCTGAAAGAATTTGCGATGGATCTAAAATAATAACATGTAATACATTTTTCAAAAAAGGAGAAAGGCAGTGTCATCAGTGTTGAAAACTGGCCCAGTAGTAGAGAAAGGACCTTGTCGAGATCATGGATACATGGATACTGGTAGGCTCTTGGTGGGATGGGGTGAAGCTGAGCTGCCCTTGGGCTGACATGGTTGAGCCACACAGTAGGGCTTTGCTCTGAAGGGCCTTCTTTGGTGATTCAAGTGGAAATGCCCACTGGAGTCAGGCTGGACATAATACAGTAAGGAGTGGGCCGTACGGGGGAGACCGGCCTGCAGGGGACCCTTCTCAGCTTTTATTCCCAGTGAGAACATGGCACAAAGCTTTCAGGTCTTCTGTTTTTTCAAGTGATTCTGGAAATCCAGGTTTAAAAAAATATATAGCACCTCTGATTTTAAAAAACCATGTGGATGGCCACTGTGCAGCCTGTGACCACACAGGAAGACCAGGGAGCTGCTTGCTTTGTGTGTGCAAGGAGGCCATGGGGGTCATCTGGCAGTGGGTACTGGGCTCCTTTGACTTCGGTCACCCCTCGGCTGTCCGGAGAGAAGGGCCCACGGCTTCTGGGGACCCAAGGGATGTACTCTCCTCTTCTGCCCCACTTCCAGTGGAGGTCTTAGAATTGCATTCCAGGACTTACACTTCCTCGCCCTTCATTGTGCTGAAGTATATATTTAATGCATTTTTGGAATTGACTGTTATAAATAGAGTAGATAGGCATGTTTTAAAAGTCTTTAAAAAGTTTTTTAGTCTCATGGCATTCCTGCCCGCCAAGGGTCTGGGGGCAGGTGCTATGGAATGTGTATGTGTAGGTGGGCCTCACTTGAAAAGAAGAAAAAAAGAAAACTGAATTTGAACCAGACATTGGAAATTGGCTATTCTGAGCATGAAAGGATTTTCTCATTATAGAAGTTTCCATCACAAGCTTCCATCACAGTGCTCTTGTTGAATTTACAATAGGATTTAGTTTATAAATCAATTTGATCTACACATAATTTTCAGGAAAACATCTGCAGCATAAATTGAGGTGTGCCTGCCCTTCATACCACTTTTTTCTCATTTTATTTTTCATGTTTCATTTTGTTCTGTGTCATCTTCAATTATCTCCACGTTTTCCTTCTTGCAGCTCTTGAAGACTTCATAGCAAACCCACATACTGAAGGTAGGGATCTCAGGGGTGGCCGAAAACTCTCCACATATAGATCATAGTTCTTATTTAAAAAATACATACCAGTTGATGTTGGGAGGAGGTGACCAAGAAAAAGTGGGGGGATGGGATGATGTGATTGATCTGGCATCTACATACCTATAGCCGATACAGGGAAAAAATAGGATTCATGAAAAAAGCATAATGAAGGCCTGTGCTCGCAAGATTTCTCACTCGAGCTTGGCATTTGTGATTCTGCTGCATTGTGAAGACAGAGATATGGCTCAGAATCCTGGCTCTGCTCTTTACTTAAACTGTGGGACCTTTCTATGACCCATGCCCTTGTCTGTAAAATGGGAGCATTATGCTTGTCTTGAAGGTTAGAGGTTGGGGATTAAGTGAATGATGTATTCAAAGTCAAATTTACATGCAAAGCCAATGTCCGGCTTACAGTACTCATTTGATAAATGTTGATTCTTTTGTCTTATAAATGGGTTCATGGCTAAGGAATTCCTTCAAAGAAATAATTCCTATTTAGAAGGCATCAGGAGCTGATGCTTAGAACTGAAAAAAATCAAACATATTTCATTCTTTTCATTCTGAGATACAAAACTTTTTAAAAATTGTAACATTTCCAAAATCAAGAAGTGTCTTTACAACTGATGGCTTCTTAAAGCTATAACTGACAGGTGTTTTCCTTCTTGGTGGTACATAAAATAGTGACCCACCTTCTTATTGAGAGCAACTTAGATACAATGAAATTGAGTATTTATATTTTAAAGGTGAGCCCATAGATATACATTACATGTATAATGTACAACTTCTCCTCCTCTTTCTCTTCTTCTTCTGTTTCCTCTTATTCCTCTTTTTCTTATTAACAGCTTTTTTGAGAGATATATCATATGCCATAATATTTACCCATTTAAAATGGTCTAGTGGTTTTCAGTATATTCACTGAGGTGTGCAACCATCACCAAATCTAATTCTAGAAAATTTTCAACACCTCAAAAAGAAGCGCTGTGTCCATTATCAGTCATTCCCCATTCTCCACCCCGACCCCATCTTCCCAACCTTAGGCAGCCACTAATCTACTTTCTGTCACTATACATTCACCTAGTCTGGTTATTTCACATAAATGGAATCTTATAAAACATGGCTTTTTGTGACTAGATTTTTTCACTTGCAGAATGTCATGATGTTTTCAAGGTTCATCCATGTTATAACATATATTAGTACCTCATCCAAATAGTATTCCATTATGTGAATATACCAAATTTTGTTTTTCTGTTCATCAGTTGATGGATATTTAGTTGTTGATTCCACTTTTTGTCTGTTACAAATAATGCTTCTATTAACATTTGTGCACAAGTGTTGCATGGATCTGTTTTCATTTCTCTTGGGTATATATCAGGAGAGAAATAACTGGTTCATATGATGTCTTTGCTTGGCCTCCCATAACAAAGTACCTTATACTGGGTGGCTTAAACAACAGGGTTCATTTCTTACAGTTCTGGCGCTGGGAAGTCCGAGATCAAAGTGTCATCACGGCAGGCTTCTGGTGGGAGCCCTGCTTCCGTCCTGCAGATAGCCACCTTCTCCTGTGTCTTCACATGGCAGGCAGGTGAGGGCATGAGCAAGCAAACTCTCTTGTGTCTTCTCATAAGTGCACTGACCCCATTTTGATGGTACCACTTTCATAACCTCATCAGAACCTAATTATTTCCCAAAGGCCCTGTTTCCAAATACCATCACAGTGGAGGCTGGGCTTCAACATATGAATTTTGAGGAGACACAATTCAATCCATAACATGTGATATGTCCATGTTTAACTTCTTAAAGAACTTCTGGCTTCTTTGACTAATCTGTTTTGGCTCCAGCTTTTGTAGTGACTCTTATGATTCCTGGGTACATACAGGATTTCTTCAGCTTACAGATGCCAACATCATTCACTTATTCATTCAATGGAAACTTAATTACTTCATCAGTGCTGGATGCTGGAAGTCAGCAAGCCAGTAAACATAACCAGGCAACACTTAGAGTCTAGCGGGGTAGACAGGCCAATAAAAAAGCAAAAATAAAACAAGCAGGCAAGTATACAAAACCAATTTCACTCTGTAATCATGTAACATAAAGATAAAAGAAGAGTCAGTACAGCAGAAGATGGTAGTGGCTTGACCTAGTAGGATGGTATAGAGAAGTTCAAGAGGAAAGATACTTTGGACAGGACTTGCTGATGGGTTAGAGTGGAGTGAAAGATAAGGAGGAATCGAGGGCTCTTCTAGGTGTTTGGCTTGAATAACAGGTTGATGGTGGTGCCATTTACTGAGAAGGGAAGGGCTACATTGGGGGTAAGTTGTTTGGTGAGAAATTAGGATTTCTGTCATGAATATGTTGAATTTGAGAGGTCTGTGACACATGAGGAGGAAAGGCGAGTAAGAAAGTTAGATCTGAGAGCCCAAAAGTTGGAGGGAAGTCTGCACTGGAGTCATACTTTAGAAAACACAAAAGAGGATTTGAATTCATGGGAATGAGTGGAGTCATTTGTGGGAAAGAGGAGAGAGTGGCCTAGGATAGAGGATGGGTAAGGCAGGAGTAGCCTGGGTGGGAAACTGAGAGAGAGCACAGCTTGGGAGGGTGGGATGGTGGGGGACTGGGGCAGAGAGTGCTTCAGAGAGGAGGAAGTGGTCCACTGCCGCATGCTGCTGAGGGAAGCCACTCTGGGGCCAGAGTCACCTGTGGCATTTGCTGCATGAGTCGTTGGTGTCTTTGACCAGTGCAGACTTATCCAGTAGTAGGGAAAGGGCCAGGGTGAGGTTTACTGAGGGACGGGGCTCTTGTGGAAATCAATCTGGCTATAAAGATAGAAAGAGGCAAGTATCTGAGTGGTATGTGGAATTGAGGAAGGTTTTTGTTTTATACGATGGAAGATACTGAGCAAGTTTATGTTTGGTTGCTAGTGCTCTAGTAGTGAGAGAGGAATGGTGAGAGCAGACAGAACAAGGCTGAAATAGCATCCCTGGAGGTATGGTATTTTGCGGGAGAAAGGAAACCCATTCCACAGACGGACCGAGGAGGCAAAGAAGAGGGGACAGTTGCGTGTGAGTGCAGGCTGGGAGGGCTGCTGTAGGAAAGAGAGTGACCCTTGATCTGATTTTGTGCATTATTTTTAAAAGCATTATGAAGTGAGGCCGTCAGCTGAACATCATGGTACAGAAAATGACTAGGAGGTCAGAGGAAAGAAGAGAAACTATGAAATAGTAGCCTTGGGAAATCGGAAAGCAAACCAATTCAAGAAAAATAGCAGTTTGCCAGTCAGCACTGAGTGTCAGTTCGCAGGATGAGATCATGAGTTTAAAGTGCAACCAGTCGTTTCAGTTGCGTGGTTTGATCCAGGAATTCCAGCTGCTCAGAGGCCCCTGTGGAGCAGAGCTAAGTCCATCGTGGGGAGGACTTTTGTTAGGGACGGAGGGTGGCTGCAGAGGGGTGATGATAATGCTGGACTGTGGAAAGTCGTCTGGACAAGGAGGGGTGTGAGGTGGGCCAGGGAGCGAATGGCTGGCTGAGGGTTGAGGATTTGGAGATTTCCTAGAGGTTGGAGAACGAGGCCGATGGGGAACTCTTGGGTAGGTAAGCCCAAGCCCAGAAGCTGGAGTTGGAGAATGGGGTGTCAGATATATTGCAGCTGCTGCTGACCTGATCCAGAGCCTGACCGAGGAAGTGGGTGGGTATCATGTAGTCAAGGGAAATGTCATGAACAATTAGTAGAAAAAGAAAGCAAAAGAGTTCAGCATTCTCAGTGGTTCATCTGTGTCACATTTATCAAGAAGATGACCAGAGGTGGAGTGGATGGGGAAGACTGTGAGCCAGGAACTGTGTCCCCATCGGTAATCATAAGGCCCACTTGTAATTGTGTGCGCATCTGTGATTCTTTTGCCCTGATTACAAATTCAAATGTAAAATTGACTTGTAGGAATAAAGGTTTCAGAAATCCCAGTCTGTCCCTTGCAGCCCCTGCTCTGTATCTTCAGGTTGGGTGCTTTGGGGACCGTGTCCTTGGATACGTGGGTGCACCTGCCCCCCCAGGTACCTTCCTCACGTCTCCTCTGCTTCTGCCATTGGTTTGCACAGAGCATAGATATGGAGGGTTAGGTGAATGAGGAAACCCAGGTCTAGGTGCCAAAAGTGACTTTCCAGGTCTCCAGTCTTGACTGCCTTCGAGACATGCCCAACTAGCGCTGCTTCCCCTCTTTGCAGGGCACCCTGTGAATTATACCACATTGTCGCACATCATAATTGTATTATGGCACGTCATAACAATGGGATTTCAACAGTTATTATTGCACATTCTAATTATGGGATTACTCAGTCTTTCACCAATTTTGTAATTAGATTTAATTATACCAATTGCACAAATAAATAATAGTCAACTACAAATTACTCAAAATCCAGAAGCGTGCATTTGTCAGCAGTTGCCCCGAAAATAAGAAAAGAAGAAGGTCTATGAAACAGCCAGCAAGTGAAAGGAATGATGTGATCTGGACAGATCTTGAAGTGTCACAGCAGGAAATCACCGTAACTCAAAGTTCTCCTTCATTTTTCCTCCAGCAGAGCATGGTGGTAAGAATTTGGGGTGTCCTAGTCAAGAATCCTGCTCCGTCTTGGCCACACTTCAAAGAGCAGCGTGCTCTTACTTCCATAATAAGCAAAGGGGGAAGGGGAGAGAGCAAAGAGCCCAGGAGATTGATGGGAGACAGAGGCAGCGGGAGGGGAGGAGAATATATAACATGTTTGACATTTAGTAATTAAAAATAGTACAGTATGATTAAACATGGAGCTCAGAATCAGTGCTACGACAATTCAGATTTATTATTTCAACCTCAGTGCTCATCTAACCTGGTGTTTCTGACGTTTTCTTGCCTTCACCTTTGGTTTGTCCCTCAAATTCCTTCTGAGGTTGTTATTTGAAGCCAGAACTTTACAGCAAGGAGCCTGTCATATTCTCTTCAAGACTAAATTTGTGAGACCAAAAATGAATAGGAGAGAAACCATGGCCATTGGAATGTGAAATAAATGTCAAACTCATTACCATGCTTCATTTGAATTGTCTTGGGCTGTTGGGTAGTGGTGAAATGGGGCCTATGAACAGGTAGAAATCTGGGGCTGTATTGCAGGTGACCAGTTTTTTCTACAGTCATCCCAGAGGGGTGGTCTTGTCTGAGAGCAGATTTTCTCTGGCTCAGGTCTCAGAGCCAGAGCCAAGAACAGAGAAACTGCACTGGTCTTGGTTTTCTTGGCTTCTTCAGTGCCTGGGAAAAGGGCCACCGAGTGCTCAGAGGGAAGAGGCAGACAGCGCTCTGTGGAGGTGGGAACGTGCGTGCATCTGGGAGAGTGGGCCTGCCGCATCTGCGCTCTTATAAAGAGTTATAATTGGTAGGTGCCATTTAAGCACATCTATACTTAGGGAAAATTACCCGCTGGGTTTGGCCACGTACTGCATAACCGCTGAGCACCAGAATTGCTCAGCATCTGCCCTGGGATCTTACAGCGGTTGACAGGATGAGGATTACTTCAAAAGTACACATAATGGCTGGTATGTTTACTTAATACTGCTGTAAAAATAAGTCTCGGTGTTACTGAGGGTCAGATTGGGGGTTTGGTGTACTTGGTGAGCTCTTGCTTGTATATTAAAAATGAGCAAAGTACATGGCTGCAGTAACACAAATAAGGGGGAAAAAGTGCTTTTAAGTCTAAAGCAAAGTCATGTGAATGCATTTTCTTATGTGGGTTTGTCTATGGACACCCATGAATGGACAGTGGAGGCTCAGGACCCTTCATCCAGGCATATTCCCCATCCTTTGGTTTCCCCGTAGCTCCAGGAGCATGTCTCATTTTTTACTCTGCTATAATGGGCCCTCATTTCTGCATGGAGGCTTAATGCCTACTGAGATCAACCTGCAGCTATGGAAGGTGGCACCTAGGATAGGGTAGACAGTTTTGTTGGAAATTTAAGCAAGGGAACCTTTGCAATTCGAACTAAGAGAAGGGTGTTGGGCTGGAACTGTTGTAGCCAGATATCTCTCTCCTCATCTCCAAAAAATCTACTGAATCAAATAAGGTTGAGCTGCTGCTTAGCACATTCAAAACAGTGTGGCTTTCCACTCTCCACTTTTCTTGTCAGACAGTGGAGTGTGTGAAATGGAGGATGTGCTGCTAGGAAGCAGTCAAAGCTATTGTCTAAAGGGGAGAAAAAGGCCTAAGCAGTTTACACAAATGAGTCAACTTGTGGAGCTGTTATACTCTGTGTTCCAGATTCTCAGCCCATAGCTGGCCACTCCTGGTTTGCTCTTCTAAACAGAAATGCCAATGCAGAGATGAAAGTATTGATTTATAAAGGCATGAGAGTCTTACAGAGGCACTTCCCTAATTAAGCATCCATGGTATGCTTGCAATTTGGCCTATAATAGGCTCGGGGAAAGACAGTCAATAAAATGCATCCCTTAAGTGTGAGAAGCGCCTCACAACCTGGGCAGACATCAGCAGAGAAGGTAGGCGAGGGCTGCCACATAGCCAGTCACCAGGAGATCGCCATTCATTCAGCCAACATTTTTTTTTTTTGTAGGTAATTATTTTTTATTGAAGGGTAGTTGACACACAGTATTACATTAGTTTCAGGTGTACAACACAGTGATTCAACATTTATATACATGATAATTCTAGCTACCAGCTATCACCATACAAAGTTGTTACAATATTTTGACTATATTCCTTATGCTATACATCATTCAGCCAATATTTGTCAGACGTTTGCAAGGTCCGTCGCTGGCTTAGCTAGCTATTCTTAAGGGATTTTGACTTCTGTTCTGATTTGCTCTCCCTTGGCCTGTTAGCAGTTTTTATATTGATGAAGAATTTACTATGTGCAAAGATAAGCCCTTTACAAACTTATTATTCTACTCAGTAGCCCTGCTATGATATTCTCCATTTGACTGGTGAAGAAAAGGAGCCTCAGAAAGTTTAAATAACTTGCCTGATGTCACATGCTTACCAGTTGGGACCAGAATTTGAGCCCCTGGTCCGAATCCAGAGTCCTTTTTCTTAACTCCAAAATTTCACACCCTATTATATGCTAATCTCTGTGGAATCCTAGACAATTTCATCATTGTAAACATACTTAAAGTGTGGGAGATTTGCATAGGTGGGCTCCAATTTATTTAGGAGGTGCTCCTTTATTAATGTACATAAGAAGAAGAACTTTGGATAAGAAGGGACAGGCTGTCAGTTTCTTCTTCACATAACCTAGAAAAGAATTGACAAGGAAATGTTCTGTTTTGCCTTCAACTGAGATAGGAAGTATGTGGTTAAGTGTAAGTCAAAAATTAGATGTTAAAACATCTTTTCAGTTACACATATTATATAACATTAAATCATCAAGGGGCTTCTTATGTTGGGATAAGAGAGATGAAAATCCATTGATGTGGGTACAAAAGTCATACATCTGTAAGAACTGAGGTGGGAGGAACCACATGCTAATAATAATGGTTTGACAAGGGAAACACTAGCAAACTGTTATTAGCTATAGAATTTGCTGAGGCTGAGCTCTAGGACTCAAATCCTCCTTTCCTTCCTTTGATCCTCCACTTATTTTTTATTCATTTACTGAAGTTTATTGAGTACCTGCCGTGTCCCAGGCACTAGTTTAGGCTCTGGTGGAGCAGTGAACAAGACAACTAAGTTTTCTGCTTTCATGGAGCTTGCCTTCCAGTGGATAGGCAAAACCTTGATGATTTGGAGGAAGAAAAAGAAGGTGAGTGTGGCTGGAGCTCAGCAAGCAAGAGGGAGAGTGACCTGCAGTATTACGTACAAGCAAAGGAGGTCCAGGTTGCAGGGAGATCTGCCACAAGCTGACAGAAGCTTGGTTCGTGGCTTTACATTTAATAACAGGAAGCATTTAATGAGCCCTTTGCTAGGTGCCAAGAACTGTCTAAGCACTTGTCATATTTTAAATCATTTAAACTTCACACCTCTACTCAGTGAGTTTTAAAATTTCTCTACTATGCTGAAAAACAACGAATTCAATGTCAGGTTGATAATTCCAAAAAAACTCTTTCATTGAATTAACAGTGAGTTAGGCAGCAATGACATTAAATTATTTTTTTTTTAGTTTCAAACAATGATGACGCTGTTATAAATTCAATTGCCTTAGCACAACTAGATAATTTTTTTAACTGAGGAAAAGTATTTTATATGTAATGAGGTCGCTTTTAAGCTTTAAATTAAACTAGTTGTCTCCCTCCTTAGGATAAAACTGGCTCATTGGCACATAGGCCTACTGAGTGGCTTTGTTTTGCATTGTTCCCACTGTGATATCATGTTGTTCATAGTTTCATCTGAGCAAAAGTGGGGTTTTGAGTCACACAATTTTGTTGCTACTCATAACAAGCATACTTCCTTCTTTGCTTCTCCACTGTTAGTTAGCTCACATTTAAGGACAGATAGTCTTTTTGAAATTGCATACACAGAGCATGGTGTTTCAGAACCTAGTGACAACTTTGAAAATTTTTACAATTTCATAGAATTTTAGAAAATAATCCTGATATTTTATTAATATTTTAATACCAAGGGAGAGTGATGACTCGAAGCCACTATCCAAATATATGCTGATTTGAGAGGCCAAAGTAAAGAGACAGTTAACGTTAAGTGATTTAAATACTTGGGGTCAGACGGTCTCCCATGGAACCTTCGCCATACACGCAGCATGGAGTAGAAACTGGGCTAGGATCCGTCTTCCTCTGTGTAAGGCAGCATGAAATGTTACTGTGTTTTCTGAAGGTTAGAAATTATACTCAGCATTATTTGGACAATAGAGCATATGGGTTTATATCCAGGAAGACTATCTTTATGTATTATCTCAATTTATTTTTATGTATTATTTCCATCCTGGCCTCCCAGTGATGGAAGATAACCATGATGTGAAGAGAAAAATATGTGTGCATTAGTTTAAGAGAAATGTGTTTTAATTTGGTCTCGGGCATTTGGTTTTGTGATACCTAATGACGCAGGGAAGTCCATTATGCTGGTGGAGATCCTCTTACTATGAAACTCAAAATCTCCATAACCCTCTCAGGGTTTAATTTTTCATGGCTAGTAGATCAGACGGCCTCACTGAGGGTGAACCTTCCAGGACCATTCATTCCCATTCTGAGGCTCAGAATCTTCGCCGTACACACCTAGCTGAGATCATTGTAGCTTGCCCAGGACACAAGAGGAGTCCATACATCAGTCCTCTGGGGGCCTTTCATCCGCTAGGGATTGTAGTCATTTCGCAGCTGGTGGCATTGTCAAAGGATTTAAGTTCTCAATCTCTATAGAGTCCTGGGGCCACTTGAAGTCATGTTGGAAGATGGATTTCTCTAGGAAACTTGGCCCCTCATCTTGGTGCTGTTGGATTATAATCTGTTTTCTCCGGATCCTTCATTTCCTCCCTCCATCTTTTAATTTACCTGCTCTTCCCGTTTCCTAGTGGGAACACAGACACACACAATAAAAGCCCCTCCCCTTAGGGAGCACACAGTCCAGGAGAGAAGGGAGAGAGATGAACAAACAAATGGCCACTGCCTGAGTGATGACTGCCACAATAGATGCATCCATGAAGACAAGGAAAACCCAGAAAAGGACTTGTTACCTTCAGGGGAGGGGGGGATCAGGGAAGGCTTCCTGGAGGAAGCTACCACTGAGCTTCATGTTCAAAGGTGAATGAGTAAGAGGTTTCTAGGGGAAAGCATGGGTGTGAAACAGAAAGGGGAGTTCAGAAGCTCATTGATTCTTGATGTTCATTCTCATGGGTGCCAGATATTTCTGTGACCCTTCTGTCTTCCACTGGTTATAAGCAATTCCTAAAAAAAATTATTGCTGTTCTTTGTTGTAGGAGTTCCCCAGCTCTTCAGGGAGTGGTTTGAATAACTCATTTGCTGCCAGTTTGAGCTGTTCTAGTTGTTTACCCCTTAAATGGTGAGACAAAAGTCAAAGTTTCAGACTCTTTATAAGCCCAAGCCACCTGCAGGTAATAACAGCGTTAGGTTGACAGCAGTGTCACATCTCCTATTTCAGGAAGGATCAAACTGGCTCTTCCTGGATATTCATTCGTGAGGCTTCAATTCCAGGAGATTTTATTCTTTGCACATTTCTCCATTTTTCTTTTGTTTCTAGGAGAGGGAGCTTCTCAGAACAACAAAACAATTGGCATGCTCTTGGGCATTCTAAGGATCTCTCTTTACCACCTAATTTTGGCCTTGACTTTATTTCCAATAGAATTGCTTAGGACAAGCATTATTTTAGTAGGTAGAGTGGATGGCCACCTTTGGGTGCCTTGGCGGGGTTGTTACAAAGACTGCTATACTCCAAAATATCTCTCTCCTAACAGATTACCTGAAATTCTACAATTATAAATTCATTCTTGAGGACTTTCTGGTTGTTTTTTTAAAAATCAAAATATTTCTCAGTATCACCTTGTATCTTAATCAAGGAGGTATCAGTGATTGGCTCCTTAGTATGAGGAGCACTGAGCTCTGGGAAGGGAAAGAGAGGCTGAAA